AATCTAACCAAAATAGTTTTAACCAACTATATTGGTTGTTTTTCAAACCAACCTGTTCTTAGAATATATCCAAACTCTATGCAACTGTCATAAACTCTCCTACAACTCCCACATCTTGACTGAGTAGTAGCGTTTAAATGCCTGGCGAAGTTCTTGCGCAGTCCAAACCACTTCCTGTGGATCTGATGAGAGATAAGGAGCGTATGGGCGAAGCAAAGCAGATAAATGAAAAATAAATAAAACCCAAAATATAAAGAAATTTTTCCTGTATGTGTTTTGTTTCCACTTGTTCCTGACCTGTTTGTGCCCCTGGACTTCTGAGTTTTGGCTGCCCCTGCTTTGGTCTGTTTGCCTGTTCCAGACTGTTACCTGGATTCCACCTGTTGTCGACCTTGGACCTGTCTTCTGACCACGGCTTGGATTTGCCTTCCTGGATCCTTCGGTTCATCTGCATACACTGGCAGCTGCAAGACGCTGCTCTTCTTCTGTCTTGATCTCTGGTAACGGCTCAGTAACAAGCAACGCAGTTCCGCTCTTCTGGATAATAATCCTCCTTCTGAGCACAAACTGAATTTTGCCAGGTTGTTGGCTTTCATGCTCATTATCGTTCCTTGTTTGAGTTTTGAAGTCACTGACCTGAGCCTCTACTCCTGCAGAGTTTCCAGTGAGCCCGCTGCAGGTCTATTTAATAAAAGCTTTTTAATACATCACTATTCTGTCTCGCCTGAATTCTGGGTCCATCAACCATCCAAGGCAGAGCTCTTCAACAGGGGGTCCACGACCCCTTGGGGGTCCACGGAGGTACTGCATGAGGGTTGTGAAAGTTTTTTTTTATATTCCCCCCTGCAATTTTTTCCACTAATGTCTTTAGAAGCACATTAACATGAATTTAACACACTGTAGTAAACAGATAAATGGAGACAGATGTCTTTCAGTCATCAATGCACACATTCACTCTTTCAAGCTGGGCACAATTTCATTCAAAACACCTGTCCCATCAATGAGGAATGAGAATCAGAATCAGAAATACTTAAATTATCCCAGGGTGAAATTACTTTTGTTACATTACTCCATCTGTAATAGAGTGACCATAGGACCAGTTTGATATACCGGTAACACAATTTCATACAATATATATAATTAGGGGGTCCCCGCTCCATTTTGCCATCAGTTTTGGGGTTCTTAGCCTTGAAAACTTTGAAGACCCCTGATCTAAGGGAAAACAGGACATTACTATATTTTATTTCTGTTAACAGAAAACAGTCTGCAAAATCTTGCCTGAAATGTGTTGATGGGAGACCTTCTTCATCAGAAGTCTCATCAGCGGCTGTTCACATTAAACATATTTGTCAGTAACAAAATGTGGAATATTCTACAATTTGCTTTATTACAAGTAACCCTCATGGACTGTACTTCTATGAAAATGTTTTTATTTTAACAAAAAATTTCAGAAATGTAGTTAACATTTTATAAAAGGTTAACTTTTTGGCCACCAAATAGATTTTTTAATTTAAATCTAAATCTTCATAGTTAGTATCATTACAAAACTAACTGCATTTAAAGTTCACTCCAGTAATAAAAATAAATTTTTGAAGGAGTAACTAGTTTCAGGTTAACCCCAATCTTTAATGTAAGGATTGAAAGACAAGACAGCATTCTGGTAAGTACAGTGGAAGAACTGCAATCAAACCAAGCTAAGCTTCGTCGGTTCAGCTTAGCTCCGGGACTCTGCTAATTTTACTGCTCACTGAAACGTTGCGTGTAATACCCAGTGGATGGAGAACACTTTGTTCATTACTGCTGATTAGGAAATAAGATCAAGAAAAATATGTCAACTCATGATAACCAGTTAATGTGTTTTTAATTAGAGCCCGCTTTTCCCCTGTCCCAATGAGTCTTGCTCTGAAACCCACCGCCGCTTGTGTTTAATTCCTCCTCTAGAGGCCTCTTGATTAAGAGTTAGACCCTATTATGATTTTAAGGGTAGCCTGGTGACAAAGCAGAAATGCAGCTGCTAGATTAAAAGTTTAGTGGATGGGCTCACTGGTGAATCTCACTGACTCTTTGAAATGACATCTCATTAATGGAATACTTTTAGATCTCGTGTTAATAAAGGTGATATAGCAACCAATCTCCAAGTGCCCCTAGAGGGCTAAAGCCTGGCTTAAAATCCTGTTTAAAAGCTTGTTCTATTATCATGCAGACAAAAGTAAAAACCTGCGTTGAGACAGAGAGAGATAGTGGCATTTTAAAGCAGCCTTGGTAACGCTGCAGGTTTGCTGCTTCAAAGGTCACCCTCAAAATAGAAGTGGTCTTAATGCAACATTATTTCATTTACATTAGAAGACAACTCCCTGGATTAATCATTTTCCACGTGTTATATATTTTTTTAACAAAAAGAACAGAAAAATCAGTTTTATGGTTTTTGTATAAGATGTTTAAAGATGAATTGTTCAAAGAAAATATTGGAAACAAAATAAACAAAATCACAACAATCATTTTTCATTTTTAAGATATGCACTTACCATGATTTTATATATGGTTGTACTATGTGCTGTATTCCCTCATCACTAATGACCCCAAAACCTGATTGAAGTTTGCCGAAGATGCCACCAGACATGTTCACAAGTCATTTTTTGCGAGTCCAAGTCAAGTCTCAATTCTTGAGTAGGCCTATTGCAATAATCGATTAATCGCATAATAAATTCTAATCACGTTTAATTCAAATAAGTGCAATAATTTGTGTAGGCATGCTTGTTCATTTCCCCTTTTGATCCCATCTCTGTCACTGAAACTGTTAACTTGTCCAAGATTAAATTCAAGTTAATCTTGCTTTTTCTGCAGCAAGCTCAGTTAGACGTTTGGTCACTGTGTTGCGACTTGGCAGGCATAATCTCTCCTCTACCACTGCCATAGTGTTTTTAAAGCAGGGCTTTTTGATCAAAGAAAGAAGGAGGTTGTATGAAATAATAAAGTCCTGTATTATTGCTTCAGTAATAGCCTTATGTCTGGGTTGTCCCTGGCTGTACACTTGCACTCCCTTTGTCCGTAGGACTTGATGCTGCTCTGTCCCTCTCCACTTGCCAGTTTTTTGGATTTACTGAATATAGAGAACCTGTAGATAAACATGGTTGTTTATTTAGATTATTACCTAGCCTTCTCCAATATCATAGTTTTTTAAAGTGTACCGATATTAGTGTGGATCCAATAATTAGTAAGATAGAAATAGCTTAAAATAATGCATTTCAAAGCTTCTTTTCCTTCTCTATAAGCATAGAGAAATAGCAAAACATTACATTAAAGTAAAAAAAAGCTGATTTTAACTTATTTTGATACTTCAATACTTATGTAATTTAATAAAATAATGTCTGCTTTTCTAAGTACTCGAGTATACTTTGTTTCTAGCATAGATGTTAACCTATTACACAGTGACTAACCTTTCTGGCTGGGTTTTCAGGTGGCAGATAAAATTAGATGTGGTGGACCCAGCATTGTGTATATTTTTTCTACAGAAGCTTCAGTTTGTTGCTTTTTTTTATTCCCTCCTTGTGTGAAGTCTTTTGTAGCCAAAGGTTAATATGAAAGGTGGGACAGAAACGGGTGAGATCAACATAGCCTCCATATCTGTATGGGTTGCAGACGCGCGCATGTTTCATGTAGCATTATGTCAGTGCTGCGTTACCGCCTGACAGCCCCTCTGAAATCAGACATTCAATGTAGTAAAACAAAAAAGAAACATTTCAAAATAAAAGATTGTTCACAAGTCTGAAATGATATGCGACTTAAGTGAGACTCAAATAGGTGTCCAAAACTCAAGTCTCCATCTCTGTATGCCTTCATCACCAGAACGATCAGCTGCAGCAACAAATCAGAGGACAAGGTGGAGATACAAAACCTGGTCAGCTGGTGTTGCAAGATCAACAGAGAAGAAGGATCTCGGTTTCATATTCAAGAGCCTGCAGACAACACTTCTATCTTTACCGATGGAGAGATAGTTGAAATGCTTACCAACCTCAGTTTCAGGTCACTTGGAGTGCACAAGAACACAACCATGCACACTACTGCGCTACAGCAACCATTCTTCCTGAGGATTCTGGAAAAGACTGGACTGCAACATAAGGTGCTGATAACTTCCTACCACGGCTGCAATATTTTTATACACCGTGTCTCCATATGATTTGTCTGACAGAAAAGCCCTTTAGTGTATTGTCCCCAGTGCACAAAGAGTTGTAGAAACCTAACTCTCAAAGTCGGGTGATATCTATAAAACCCAATGCCTTAGGAAAAATGGCAGCATCTGCAGGAACCCCGCTCATGCATGCCACCTCTTATTTGAACTGCTGCCATCTGGCAGAAGGTACAAAGCCCTCTACACATACAAAACAGCCTAAAGAATATTTCTTTCCCCAGAGCTGGGGCTCTCTCAATGAGCACTGTGAAGATGTAACAAACTGACCTGAACCTGCTTTGCACATGAATGATGTCTACATTGCAATATGTTCAGTTTCTTTTTTTTCCACTAGATTTCTGCACAAAAATGCATTGTTCTGCTCCTCATTCACCCCAGTTATTGCTATTTTACATGGTTGAACAGTTTCTGATCATTCACTTTCAAATCACCTATTTAACTGTTTGAATTCTACCAGTTGTGCTGTAATGTAAGAGGTTAAGTTTAATTGTTTCAAGCTTTTGTCCTTATTAGCTGTACAATCAGGCACCGGTGAGAGTAATTATACATAAGTTGAGGAGTAATTCTTATTAACTCCTTGAAAATCAAAGTATGCAGTGCAAAAATTATATTAGTTATTAGTAACGAAAAATAGAAAATCTTTCAAATAAACTTTTGCCTGAACCAACCACCTCCTTTTCAAAAAGAAAAAGAAACAATGCTGGTAATTTAAACACCCCGCTTTTCCTTCCCAGAACAGGGCCCCATCAGTCATGTGTTTCTTCCTGGAAAATAGTGAAGTTTCACAAATCAAATTCAAAACAAGGATGTTAGTGCTGCTGTTGCTTAGCTGACACACATGTACGTCCTCCAATCTGCGCCGCTTTGAGCCACACCGTTTCATCTGGTGCTATCAGGGTTGATGAGAGCCTCTTGTCTTTCTCGGTCTGCTGCAGCTGCTGTGGTGAGTGGCAAGCCTCTCTGATGGCTCCCCTTTATCTTCACATCAAGCAATTTGCTGCTCCTTTTTATTATGATCCTTGTGCCAGATTGAAAATGAAAACTTTGAAAAACTTGTTTTTTTGTGTAACTTCAATAAAAGCAGACCAGCTGGAAATTCTGGTGTAATTTAATTCAACTTGAATATGTTTTTTTTCTATTTTAGCCTGTTTGTTAGTTGTTCTTCTTAAACATTTTCATTGCAGACAATTTACATTAGATTGCAAAGTGAAAATGGAAAGATTTCATCTTTAAAGATAATGAACCTTTGAAAAATTAAATTAAATGTTAATTATTTGAACAGTTTGGTCAATTGGTTAATGACTAAGAAATCATTAAGTCAAAGCTTCTCTATGTTTTTTTTCTTAGTGTTAGAGTTTGGGAGGCAGATTGTTGTTCTCTAATAATGAAAATTGAGGATGTGAGCCAGATTATCTTCTTGTTTCTAAGATTGTGGGACTTTTATGAGTGCTGACACAAACCATATCAGATTGAACTTCAGCAAAACTAGGATTAACTCTTCAAGGGTAAAGTGAAGCATTTGTAGAAATTCCCTATTTAAAATTCATGGCTTGGTGTGAAAAATAAGTCCACAAAAGAGGAACTAGTAGAGAGTTGTGATTGCACTTCGTGTGAAGGATATTGCCAAATCCTGAGGGTGGGCGTTGTGTAACCCCTGAAAACAACGGGGAAGGAAATGTACAGAGACTAGAGGGGAACATTTCTTTACCCGTTGTGACATTTCTCTGTGAGACAAAAGGAATATTCCAGACACGCATTTGCATTTTTTAAAATGAAAACATGTGCAATTTATGTTTGTTTGTTGACAAAATACACTCCAGGTTAAATACTCTCTCTCGGTCTGACAGCCTCTTTTTCTGTCTTTTTCTCGGTTGTCTTTTGTCACAACCGCAGGCAATTATCCATTAGCGCTGAGCAGGAATTCTTAAAAAGGCAAGAAGAGAAAATGGAGGTCTTTTTGCACACTGCTGATAAGAAAAATGGGAGAAATTCTATTTCACCCTTAATGCAAAACAAACATCAAATATTCAGTTATGGACAAAGAGCAGAAACTTTAGTTGGAGTAAGAGCTGTGAATGATTTAAATCATGAGACATAGTTTAATAAATTGAAGCAAATCCTTTTTTTTTTTTTTTTTGTTAGCCAAAAGGAAATACCAATACAACAAATCATTTAGAACAAATATATTTTAGCCAAGTATTTCTGGGGGATTCTAAGATTTTCCAAGTGTATAAGAAATTCATAGATCCTCTATAGTGCTCTGGGTCATCCCTGGTGTCTCCTCTCAACAGCATGATGATGGTATCCTGATCCGAAGCGACCCACCGTGACTGTTTTCTTTTAAATTGGAGGAGTGGTAGTTCAACTTTAAGCTCCTACTGGATTTGTGAGCTCTTTGTATGCTGGATCTCAGTTTGTCTGTTATGATTCATAGCACATGACCAGAAGAAAATATATTGACAGACTTCCAATAATCAGTGTTAGGGTTTTAGACCAACCTCTTTTATTACAGACTGAAGAAGCACGTTATTTCAGAAAATGTCTTACTTGCTCTTATCTCTAGCCATCCATCACTTTAAAGTGTTTTAAATCTGCTTGAGACTGAGCCCCAATGCTAAGACAGAGCAACATCAAAGATTTTGACCACCATGATTAATATTGTAGGGGGAGTGTGGCCTAGTGGTTAGGGCATTACACTTGGAAACCAGAGGTTCTGAGTTCGAGCCCCACTCCCACAGACTGCCCTTAGTCCCTGAGCGAGACCCTTAACCCCGCACTGCTACCTGGGTGCCACACAGTGGCAGCCCACTGCTCCCCAAGGGAGGGGTTAAATGCAGAGAGTGAATTTTATTGCTGTGACAGTGTAATGACAATTTAAAAAAAAAAAAAGCTAAGAAAAAAATAATATTCTCTTGACCTCATTACAATTGTACAAATGTCCCACAGACCCAGTGAGCATAAGATGTCAATTCCAGATCAAAAGGACATTAAACACAGATGTCAAACTGTAATTGTAATTTGGTCAGAAATGTTAATCAATTCTTTGACATCAATTTGGTGTATGTCAATTATTGATTTTAGTGATATAATTTCATTATTCAATATTAAGCTTACTTGAATTTTCATTCCAAAAATGATAATGATAATGATATTGATGTTATTTTAAAACTGTTTAAGCTGTTTTTAGGCTCTAGCGCCTTAAGCCTTTATTTTTGTTAGAGCTTAAAATAGACAATATATTTTAAATAAAAAAGTTTGAAATAAAACAGTGTCAAAGTATAACTCAATTAAGGTAGTGTCAAAATTATATCAATAAAATCATGAACATACATCTAGTTGATTTCTGTTTTTTACCAGTTTATAATGACAATTTGATGTTAGTGTGTGATATGCTATTGATGTAAAACTGACATCTTTTGCCAGTTGGGAATCCAATTTTTGAAAGCATCAGATTTAAGGGGGATGTTTTTTTTTTTTTTTTTTTTTTTTATCAAAGCAGCTTTACATTTTGCAGTCTTTTGCTTTAATGTATGTAAAAGATTGTGGCTTTAAAACACCAATAGAACCAGATCATCTGCAAAAAAGGAAAGATGCGACCCTAAGGGTCCCAAAGCAGAGAAGGAGCTCTTCAAAATTATGCCAAAAACACTAAAAACAGGATGCTCAAGAGGGGGCACCCCTGATGGAGATCACTATAATGTATGTCCCTCTTAACTTGGGGTTATCCAAAGCTAGCTTAGTAATGTCATCTGTGTGGAGGAGGTCTGGTTAACTAACTTTCCTCCATGACCGAGGGTTGATAGATTCGAAGCAGCAACAGGAGCTTGCTCACCGTAGTCTCAGATATTAGCATGAATTTTATTTCTATGTGGGAGGTCAGTGATGATGAAATAAAACATTTCTTAACCCTTAGCCTACTGGGTTTCTGTTGACATATGAACATTTATCTCTGTGTGCTTTCAGCATTAATCAGTTACTACAACAAATGCTGCCATAACTTTGTTTTGGAAGTGAAAGATGATAACTGATAAAAAATCTATAATTTCCCAAAGCATTCAGCAGATCATTTCAGTCCTTATGATGTAATGCTTTGGATTTATTAAATGTAGTCCTTACTTGATCAGCTGTTATTTCAACATCAAAAACCTCTATTAAACAGTTTACTCAAGCAATTTGAGTAAATTGCTTGAGTAAATTAAAAATACTGGAACAATATGAAAGCTTCAGTTTGGTTAAAAATTTGCATATATGACACGATGCATTATAAGTATTCTCATAATGCATCTTGTCATATATGCAAATACATTGCAAACATAAAAGCATGCATTCTAAAAGAAGCTTTATAAGTAGTAGTATGAGTATTCTTATAATGCATCATGGTTAAATGAACTGTTAGCTTCTCTTTTGGTAAGTAACTATTTTCATTAACTGTGGTGACATAAAACAGTAAAAAATAGATTTTTTTCAGTTTTCTGAAAAGTGTATTTCGAATTCAATGTATTGAAAATTTTGGCCAGTATGCTTGACCACTAATCAAGCTTAAAATACCTTTCAGCCAGCTCCTAATGGTAGGTATTATTTGCTGGAGTACCAAAACTATGTTTTCTTACCTACAAACCAAAAAAAATATATATATATTTGTCATTGTTTGGAAATGAGATGTATACCAGTTATTTTCATTGCCTTAATAAAAATGAGAGGTATTTATGTCCAAACATTGAACGGTTTTTCAGTGATTCCAAAAAAAGATAATTAAAAACATTCCACTGTACTTTGTTTCCAAGTTTGAAGACATTTCGCTTCCCATTCAAGAAGCTTTTTCAATTTAAAATGTCACGAGCATTGAGTTCCAAGTTTTATACAGTAGCCCATCAAAACCTTGTTTTTATTTAAAAAAAAAATGCAAATTGAAACGGACGAAGGGGTCCATCCCTTTGGATTTTCAGTGACTATACTATTAAAACCAGTTAGTTTTGGTAAGCTGTATCTGTACATGCTAAAGAAAACAAAAAAAACTCACTTAAATGGTTACTATGTTGGTGATTGAAATAAAAATTTAAATGGTTTATATTACCTTAAAGCTTGGACTGGAAATCGCATCTACAGGTGCTGGTCATAAAATTAGAATATCATGAAAAAGTAGATTGATTTCAGTAATTCCATTTAAAAAGTGAAACTTGTATATTATATTCATACATTACATACAAACTCATTTTTTCAGATGTTTATTTTGTTTAATTTTGATGATTACAAATGACAACAAATGAAAATCTCAAATTCATCATATCAGAAAATTAGAATATTACTGAAGACCAATAAAAACAAAGGATTTATAGAAATGTTGGCCAACTGAAAAGTATGAACATGAAAAGTATGAGCATGTACAGCACTCAGTATTTAGTTGGGCCTCCTTTGGCCTGTATTACTGCAGCAATGCGGCGTGGCATGGAGTCGATCAGTCTGTGGCACTGCTCAGGTGTTATGATAGCCCAGGTTGCTCTAATAGTGGCTTTTAGCTCTTCTGAATTGTTGGGTCTGGTGTATTGCATCTTCTTCTTCACAATACCCCATAGATTTTCTATGGGGTTAAGGTCAGGAGAGTTTGCTGGCCAATTAAGAACAGGGATACCATGGTCCTTCAACCAGGTACTGGTAGCTTTGGCACTGTGTGCAGGTGCCAAGTCCTGTTGGAAAATGAAATCTGCATCTCCAAAAAGTTGGTCAGCTGCAGGAAGCATGAAGTGCTCTAAAACTTCCTGGTATGTGGCTGCGTTGACCCTGGACCTCAGAAAACACAATGGACCAACACCAGCAGATGACATGGCACCCCAAACCATCACTGACTGTGGAAACTTTACACTGGACTTCAAGCAACGTGGATGAAGTGCCTCTCTTCTTTTCCTCCAGACTCTGGGACCTTGATTTCCAAAGGAAATGCAAAATTTACTTTCATCAGAGAACAGGACTTTGGACCACTCACCAGCAGTCCAGTCCTGTTTCTCTTTAGCCCAGGCAAGACGCTTCTGACGCTGTCTGTGGTTCAAGAGTGGCTTGACACAAGGAATGCGACAGCAGAAACCCATGTCTTTCATACGTCTGTGTGTGGTGGTTCTTGAAGCACTCACTCCAGCTGCAGTCCACTCTTTGTGAATCTCCCCCACATTTTTGAATGGGTTTTGTTTCACAATCCTCTCCAGGGTGCGGTTATCTCTCTTGCTTGTACACTTTTTTCGACCACATCTTTTCCTTCCCTTCGCCTCTCTATTAATGTGCTTGGACACTGAGCTCTGTGAACAGCCAGCCTCTTTAGCGATGACCTTTTGTGTCTTGCCCTCCTTGTGCAAGGTGTCGATGGTCGTCTTTTGGACAACTGTCAAGTCAGCAGTCTTCCCCATGATTGTGTAGCCTATAGAACTAGACTAAAAGACCATTTAAAGGCTTTTGCAGGTGGTTTGAGTTAATTAGCTGATTAGAGTGTGGCACCAGGGGCCATCAATTTTGAACCTTTTCACAATATTCTAATTTTCTGATATGATGAATTTGAGATTTTCATTTGTTGTCATTTGTAATCATCAAAATTAAACAAAATAAACATCTGAAATATATGAGTTTGTATGTAATGTATGAATATAATATACAAGTTTCACTTTTTAAATGGAATTACTGAAATCAATCCACTTTTTCATGATATTCTAATTTTATGACCAGCACCTGTACTGTATTTGTTAACAAGATGTCTGTGAATAAGTTTATATGCAAAAAATATTATCATCCTCCTTTTTTCCTCTTCTTTTCAAATATTCCTCTCTGTCTACACACAAACACACAATCTTAGCATCTCTTGAGCATCGTTTGTGTTGTTGGACTTTTTCAGAAAATTTAATATAGGTTGGATGTTTTTGAACACACAGGTGTCGACACCAGTGTGTGTAATGTAGGCTCTAAATGATTCAAAGATGCTGTTTTTTTAAACTATTAAAAAGTAGTAAAAAGTAACTATTAAAAAGGAAGTAAAGCAGAAGTGCACTTTTTTGTCAAGGGTATTATAGTGCATACCTGATTTTACCTTGGAGACGGATGTGTAATGCTGTTTCCTCCAAAGACCATAAAAAGGCTTTTAGTGTAAATGGCATCATGAGGTCTTTGACATAGCGAGAGAATCAGGAATCTGATGGATTTCACTGATACTTGGAAAATGAACCGCCCATGGGTCTTTTAAGCATGACTATCTGATGTGCATAGCCAAATAAACTCTGACATGATTCATCAGACACAAAATCAGACTGTAATTTCGAGCCTAAGACCTAAATCCTACAGAAAATATAAGTTAAGTTGATTCCCCTGAAAACATCAAAAAGGACTATTCTTACTATATCTTTATATATATATATATATATATATATATATATATATATATATATATATATATAATTTCGAATTTTTAAAGAAAGCAAATAGGGTGTAATGCAAATTTAAGCAAAACAATCTGTATATTTTAATATATTTTATTATCTTTTACAACAGAAGAGCTTGACCCTGAGAGGAATCACAATTCCAGGTTTGTTGTGGTATAGCATGCAAAGTCTGCATTTTTATAATGATGTCCTTCAATTTGGCTGCCCAACAGGTTTTTTTCAAGATGATATTCACATGGATGGTCATGATTGCTGTTGCGGTAGACTCTGCAAGCGGAGCAATGAATGGTAAGGTTTTCTTTCACAAAGAAATTGAAATGTAAATTACTAGCCAAAAGTTACAGGGACAGTTTCAGACATCTTGTTTTTGTGTTGCTTTATCATCTGCTTAGGAGATAAGAAGAGAAATTCTCCATTCTTAATATTAAGCTACTGTTTTTGTGTAATTTGTTTTATTTTTAAGGGGATGTCCAGCAGCCATGTGCTAAGATCCACACATCCAGTTTGGTGGTACCTCTGGGATCACCTATCACAGCCACCTGTGTTATTAGACAAGACTGCTATGAGTTGAATGAAGAAGATGTTCGTATTGCGTGGTATCTTGGCACAGAGCTTATTCCCAGCAGCCTTGCAGTCAATGAGAGCAACATGGTTTCAAGGATTGTTGTACCAAGCTTCAATCACACCAGGGAGGAACTCATCTGTGGCTTTCAGGATCCTCGTCAAGATCTTGCAGGGGTGGTGATCCAAGCTGGATGTGAGAAAAATTAAATGTATTTTTTTTTAACTCAAAGTAAGAGATCAAAAATTAACATATATGGTTACTTGTTCAATAATTTTTTAATGCATACAGTGCCCTGCATTTTGAACCCCTTGTAACATTACAACCAAAAACATCTATTTGCAAAAGCAAAATATCCTCTTAGAAACTGATGATTGCATTTTTTTTACAGAGATGTTTTATTTAGCAGAACAAGGTAGGAGGTCTGTGTTGATTGGAATATGGATGCAGCCAAAACACAGAACAATCACAGAGAAAAAAAAATAGAAGAAGACTTGGGATAACAGACAAATAGCTGGATCTACAATGTTGAATGGGTTATATCAAAGCATAGATAGATAGATAGATAGATAGATAGATAGATAGATAGATAGATAGATAGATAGATAGATAGATAGATAGATAGATAGATAGATAGATAGATAGATAGATAGATAGATAGATAGATAGATAGATAGATAGATAGATAGATAGATAGATAGATAGATAGATAGATAGATAGATAGATAGATAGATAGATAGATAGATAGATAGATAGATAGATAGATAGATAGATTAGAAAGGTCTAGTTCAAGAAAGGAACAAAATGGCATAATCAGATAAAATGTTGGCTTAGGATCAGTAAAATTTCAAGCATGCCACTTTGCAAAAGGCTTAAAACTTAAACCTTTCTCTTCACTTTACAGCTTTGCTGAGCTCCCTATAAAACACATTAAGATTTACAACACAAAATGTAAACATGTTCAGCTGATAATATGAACGCTTTATCAAAGACAGAATATTATGTATTCTCAATTACAAACACCCTAAAAAAGTGAAACAGTGCAGTTGTCCAATAGAAATAAATTTATTTACGTTCTTTAAAAAAGTGTGATATGTTTCAGTGTAAAATAAATGTTATTTTCTTTCCTGGAAAAAAAGAAAAAGTCATTTTTAAGCAATGAGTATCCTTTGCCGTCAGTTACACAACAACAGAAAAATAAGTGCTACTAGTCACGTCTCAAGTGCTTTACATATAAACGATAATATTTTAAGAAACCCACTATCAATAATCCGATTGTAACGTTTTCACAGTGTAAATATTTGAGAGATCACCAAATATGTGTATCTTTTTTCTAATTAGATCCACCAGAAAAACCAGAAAACCTGAGCTGTCAATTAATTATCAATGCTTTCAATTCTCTCATCTGCACATGGGACCCTGGACAACTGAACACCTCCCTCCCTACAAAATACACCCTGTATACTGAAACAAGGTAAACTGCTGTTTAAAACTATATGTATGCTAAGATATTTACAAGGAAGGAATACGTCTGAAATCATTGCTCTAGCATCTAATGTGGATCATTGAGGTGTCATACTCATATTCAATTCAGTTCATTTCAAACATGCTTAATTATTCCTGAAAGGAAATTAAACACCGTTGTCTTATATTATTCTTCATTCTTCAAATTTTGAAGTTTTTAATGATACATGTGACTGCATGCATAGGCTGGATCTCCAGTAGTAGTCTGTCTTACAGTGATGCCAGAGTTGTTCACTATTTTCTTATACTTAGGGAAAACTCTTCTTTGTAAATTTGTCTCCAAATGTTCTGGAGGAGTTTCAGGATCAGAACCGTCAATTGCTCTGACTGCTAGTTCAACAGCTAATGGCAGCAGCGATCTCACTCTCCCATCAGACTCATATGCAACATCTTGTTGCAAACACTGAAGGACCTACATAGCATAGTTTTTTTCTAATGTTATATATCATTTCAGGGATTTAAATTCAAACAATACTTATGAAGTGCCACCAGACATCCATCATGTTGTAATTTCTCGTGCTGATTTTGGCATCTACATGGCAATAAAAATCTACGTAAAGGCCGAGAATGACCTCGGAGAGGCAACTTCAGCAGAAATGGTTTTCAAACCGATAAGTGTAGGTGAGTATCAACATCAAATGGGAAAATGTAAATAAAAAACTCTGGCAACAACCTGGGTTTGACCAGCATATATCTAAATCAAGGTTTTATTTTTTAACGTTAACTGTTTGTTGGTTTTTTAAACATTAACTATCTGTTGTCTTTAATGATGATAAGGCTTTGTTTTTTTAACTTTGCCTCACTGTCCAAAAATCTTTCTCTTATTTTTTTCTTAATCACATTGAAAAAAATAAATACAGCACCCACCACTCTTTTAAGCAACAGTGTCAGTTTTTGTGTTGACAAAATGTCTCCTTCCCAAAGGTTATCCGCTCTGTCTTTTTATTTACTGTTGTGTTGCCCAAATGATGGAGGTGGGCTAGATCTGTTATCTACGCAAAATACCTCATATTGCGGTGAAGTTGGTCGATTTTTTGCCGCTAATGATTGATATGTGACATTTTTTTAAATATGGAAATAAGGATAATTTCCCTTGACACCACTATATAATAGCTCTCCTGATAATGCTAGAAAAAAAAAACAGAACATATTTGTTCATGCTGGCAATCAGAATTAAGCATACTTTGAGCGCTATGAGAAAATATAGCTGTAGTTGAAATGTGAATCAAGATTCTTATTTAGCGATAGATTTAAGGCATAATCAGCTGCTTTTAGGGGCTCAGTAAAGCTGTTGGGCTTGCCAAAGTTGTTTACAGCAGCCTTCTAATCATCACTAATAGAATTCCATCCATTAATGCCCCTCCTCTACTAATATGAAGAGTACCTGGGGTGTCATCCAGTGATGTTTTTTATCACTGAACTATTTTGAAACATCCCCATTTCTTGTTTACGCTGTCTATGATGTATTTCAGGTCAATCTTAAAAGATTCCAAATAATGTTATTCTTTTTCAATTCCTTTTTGCATTTGCCATTAGTGGCCATCCTGCACAAATTGGTAACACTTTACGATAAAGTAGAAATAAATTTATTTACTACTACAGAGCACCTGGGGAACTTACCAGCATTTAATCAGCACTTACAGGGCAACTCCCAGCCAAGCCTTATTATGGGACTATGACTTAGTTACCTGGGGAACAAAGAGTAACTAAGCAAGACCTAAAAAGTAGTTTCACTTTACTTAAAGGTACACAAAAAACATTAGTTACTGAGTTGACACAGTGTTCATAAAATAATAGTAAGACAATAATTTGGTGCATAGTAAATTTGTTTTTTGCAAGCTGTGACTTCACAGGTATAGGGTTTATTAAGAACCAGCACAAATAATGTCTCTAATTTTGTGGTAACGGACCAGCAGTCCTTTAACATGTACTGGTTAACTTCACCAGTGGGAAACTGTAACTCTGCGGACATTTGCTGGAATGTGTCTGAGTGTCTGTGCTCTAGCGTCTGTTTTTGTCTGCACTTTTTTGTCTGCAAAGAACCATTAGCCTAAATTAGTCCTTTAGTAGTTCCTCTTTGTAGGTTTTTCGTAACTACCCATTTGTCACTGATTGGTTACTTCTTTTTTTCTTTACAACACATTAGTTTCTGATAAGTTACTCTGTATTTCCCAGGTATTTAAGCAGTAGTCCCATAATAAGGCTGGGCGGGCCTTAGTAAGTACCAGTTAACTACCCATTAGTTCCTCATTACTGTAGTTCTTTTGGCATTGTCTTGTAGTTAATCTAGTTTTGTTTACCTTATTGTAAAGTGTTACCCACAAATGATAAGATCTACAAACCTTCTGAAGATCAGCCCCTTACCGTCTGTATGCTGAAAGAGTCACCTGATGGGCATCATTTGTTCTGCACCAATCTGTGTTCACCTTAGCAATAGGTTTCAAGGACCTTTTTATAGCTACAAATGCAAAATTTAGCTATTGATTACAGTTTATTTTTATGGGTGCCAATGATACAATAATGTAATTGCCAATATTTTTGTTACCAACAGTGAGTTGGAGTTGGAACAGTGAGTTAATGGAAATTATTTTCGTAACATCATTATTTTGCTGAATAAAAAAGGGGTCAAATCAATGGTTGAATTTTATTTTGTACAATTTTTTTTAATAAAAAAAGCCAGAGCAAGAAATGATTGCTTACTTTTCAAGCCTTTACATTAATTAAATATAATTAATTAATATGTCTTGAATTCAAATCCAAAATTACTTAAATTTTTACAAATTACGTTTTTACGTAAAAATGTTTCTTTTACGATACAAAATGTAGAAAATGAAATAACCATACAAAGATATAAAATGCATCTTTGTTTCAGATAAATAAAATCTAAGGAAGTTTTAACATTTGCAGTTTCTTTGGGTTAAAAGCAAATGATTGTACTTCAGAAAATAAAAATAGAATTCTTGCTTTCAACCAAAGCAGATAAGCTCATCCAGATGGTTGGCCAATTCTGTGGGGAATGCAGAAATATCTTTAGCAGTAATGATACTCTGGGTTGTTTTTAAAGGTGAACCGGTATTTTTGTGTGCGATCAAAATACATCAGTCCAGATGGTGTCAAACTCTGGGTCGTTCTTTAAAATTATGCTTCTTGAAATACAAAATGCACTTTTAGAAAAATCTAATATGTTTGTTTTTCTGCCAGTTAAACTTGACCAGCCCAGTATTGTAAAAATTGGAGTGGTGCCTAAAAGGTTTGGTTGCCTACAACTGACATGGAAATTATCCAAGCAACAGGCTTGGTTGCATCACAACCCTTTCAACTTGGATATCCGACTGAAAACTGCTGACAGCAGCCAACCGGTGAGTTCAGCTCAAACTGTAAACACATCATGAGTTTATATCACTGTACTGTTGCACCCAATGTGACCCCGTGTCCTCTATGGAGATTCACAGCCAGCTAAACTCTTTCCTGCATCACTTCCTCCAAGGAACAGGCGTGTGTTGTATTTGAACAGGATTTAATGCAAAAAAGTGTGAAACTGAAACGATACAGAATACATAAAAATATTACTACACAAACAAAACATCAGAATGAATAAAATAAACGTTTTCTTTGTGTAAAACATGCATTTAAATGGTAACTTAAACTTAGCTGTAGCATAACATCCACTCTAATCTAACTCCAGCGTATTAAAGCAAACAACATATCAAACGTCTCAAATTTACAAAAATAATCAGATATATAGTATCTAGAAACCATAAACAATTATGTCTCTTACTCATATTGCCACTCAAAGGGATGGAAAGGAGCGGATGGATGCAGATGAAATCCAAACCATACTCATGGCAGTAACTTCCTGTAACACACCTTCTACTCATTCACTGGCTCAACCTAGCAAACTGTGCAAACATGCGCCCCCTAAGGGCCTGGAGAAACAACAACATAAAAAAAGAGCTCCAGCACAATCACCTCAGAACTGATCGCATTCCTGGATGCATCTTTTGAGATTAGAGCCTACCTGAAAATTAGAGCTTATCTAGCTGTGCTGAGGTGCTTGCATGATTTATTTACTTATTTATTTCTCTTAGATCCTTGTGAGCTATGTTAAATCACCCAAAAAGGTGGAATGTTGCTCTCTCCTTGATGGGACTCAATACTTGGCCCAAATTAGAGTGCAATGCGAGCAGAGCCCCTGGAGTGAGTGGAGCAGCAGCAAGTCCGGAGTCACCTTGGAGACCGGTAGGGCTCGGATCAATTAGCAACTATCTGTTTCCTTTTCTCTACATTTTTTGTCATCTTTTTAGTATATGCAAATGTCAAGTTGTGCATCTCTCACTGTTTTGCTCTGCAGCACAGGCTTAATTGAACTATTGAGTTTTGTTGCCTATGCAGACGGTGAATTTATAGACTTGTCTTGTAGAGAGACAAGTTTCCAGACTGACAGCTTTTTCTTTCTTTTCAGCTCCAACTGGACCCTTAGACTCATGGATGAAGGTATCAAAGAATAAAGAAAACAAAAACCTCAACATACAACTGTTCTGGAAGGTACCTAAATAATTATTTCAAGCCTGCAGAAAAAGTATTTGTAACCAAAGTTTCTACAGGATTGTATGAAGTATTCCTTTTTTTACTGTTTCAGCCATCAAAACTATTCAGTGCAAATGGGCGAAATCTGTCCTATGTTGTCTCACAACCAAAACTGCGCAGTAAAAGGAAGATAATGTGCTCTACAAGTGAGAAATGCTGTGCTTTCCAACCTTCTAAGGGTGCAAGGAAATTTTTTCTGAGCGCTGTGAACAGTGCGGGGAAATCTCACCCCACTGAAATCCGAATTTACCAGCCTCAAGGTAAGTCATGTTACTTTAAAAGAAAATGTACAGTGTTTTGCAAAAGTGCAATAGCCCTAATGTGTTATAACCACAACCCTCTCTGTGTCTTATTGCCATTTCCTTTGACGGATAAACATAAAGCAGTGTGTGTCGGTTTTTTTGTTTTTTTAATTATTATTATTATTCTTTTACAAGCGAAAGCCTAGAAAGCATGATATGCATGTAAATTAACCTAATTTAATTATGTAATGAAAAAAATAATGCTGCACTAAGGATACAGCCCCATAATGAAACATGATGATGGCAGCAGTGATATGGAAGCTAGTCAATCTTAATGCTTGAAGTGAAATAAACAGCCATATTGAAGGGAAATTTGTTAAGAAATAAAGACCTGAGAATAATGGATGTTGTTGACCTAAAGCAGAGCTACATTTAAATGGTTTCCGGTTCACCGAAGTCCAGTCCTTAAGAGCTGTCCTGCAGATTTTACAAGCATTCCTTCTGGTAATTGATAATATTGGTAAGTTTAGTTCTACACATTATCAGTATGGAACAGCTCCCTTCGAATCGGTTCAGGTAAAAAGAGCGAAATTTAGCAGAACCTTCTCAGCTGATTGGGAAACGGGGCACCATGTGCATGCCAACCAAAGATCTGTTTTAGCCACTATTGGTAACAAATGAAATAGCAGGAGACGCTATGAGAAACCACAACAACTTAAGCTTTTATGCTCTTACTGCTCTTCTTTGTCTAACATTTAATTTATGAGTGTTTGAGAAGAAGATGAAGGAGAGTAGCTCTTGGAGACTGGACTATGAAACTGGGTTTAAATCATAGCATATTAAAGTTTTAAAATATCCCAATTAAAGGCTAGGCCTAAATGAAATTGAAAAGCTGTTGCAAAGCCTTAAAATTACCTCTTCCACCTCAAAATGATTCACATTCTCTTTAACAATCCCATAACTTATACAATTCGATTTGCAGTTACATTGTCAAAAATTTATACATTTACGGTGCAATGTAAAAAGAGTTTTGGTTTACTGTTTTTTTCTGTTTACCTGAGCGGATTGTTTTTTTTTGTTTGCCTTTTTTTCTGTCAACAGCTCAGATGGCAATTATGGATGTCACAGCTGTTCCTCATGCTGACAGATCATTTCTGGTCCAGTGGACAGCTGATAGCAATTCAGATCTCATTGATTATGTGGTGGAATGGAAACCTTTACTAAATACAGACCTCTGCAAAATTAATTTTGAAATTGTGAATAAAAGCCAATGCAGTCTCATCATCACTGGTAAGTCGCCAGAGTTTGCTTACATGTTTCAGCATCAATGAGCTCTGTTGTGGTCACACTATCATCTCTCACTACATGAACTCAAATAATCTTTTATTGGCAAGATTCGTTTTTTCTCCTTTTTCACAACCCGCCTTAACACTGTATTAGCTTGTGGCCACTGATCCACTCTGTGCTCTACGCTCTCATCTATAGGCAGCTTTGAGCCCTACAAGCCCTATGGGATCTCTGTATATCCCAGGTTTAAGGATGGGATCGGGCTTCCTCAGACTGTTAATGCATACTTGAGACAAGAGGGTAAGTCGCCAAAGACAAACTGGGATCATACAAAGAGCATGTAAAGGTGCAAGAGTCAAGTTGACTCAACTTTAAAGAAGTAGAATTAAGCAGATTTACATGAGCAGTGTGGGCTTTCAGGGAACAGATCATATGTTATGAAATGTTGCCCTCTTGTGGAGAGAAAAGAATGATTAATTTGATTATTCATGTGCAAGCAATTTAACATAAATGGTCATTTTGTTTAAAGCTCCATCAGTGGTTCCTGAACTTAAAATTAAACAGAACTGGAATTCAGATATTGAGATCTCCTGGGAGGAAATCCCTTTAGAGCAAAGGAATGGATTTATTAAGGGTTACAAAGTCTTCTACTGGGAAGAAAATGGACCTGTTAAAGGTAAGTTAAAGGCCTAAACTGTTTGCTTATAAAATGTCTTTTTGTTTAAAGTTTTCTAAGCCTGGATTTTTTTTTTCCAGCTGTGAGCGCAGATGCAGAAGACAGAAGGGTGATCCTGAAGGACATCAACCCTGTATCTCTATATGAAGCTTTCATGATGGTTAGCACATTTGGTGGAAGCCTGAATGGGACAACAATCAGGTTTAAATTCACCTCATCCGGTTGGTATCATACTTTAATTTGTCAGTTTTAGAGTCAGTGAACTGTATTTATTTTTTTCAATTAGATTTTAAATAATGATGTCATATTTTCTTTTTCAAGATCAGGCTACTATTGTGATCATTGCAACTGCATCTGGAACTGGATTGACAGTACTGATCCTTTTGCCTCTACTGGCCTGCTTCTCTAAACACAAAACGTAAGCCCACAACAAAAAACGCACAAGACTAAGATGTAGTAGATAGAATACAATTTCTTCTGCCACACTCGCATCTCAGTTCATTTATTTATTCATTTTGTTTATACAGCTCCACTTTAAAACATATGTTGTCTTGAAGCACTTAATGCAACAATTCAATCAAATCATAAAGACCGATTCAAAGTTAATCGTAAACATTTTAAATGTATCCTAATTCTAAAACAATGCAATGGAGTCCAGTTTATTAGTCAAATTGATTAAAAAGCATCCTATCCAAGAAAACCCATCAGATTGCTTCGAGTCATTGACTTACATCCTTTAATCTTCCTGGATGAGCGTGAAGCGACAGCAGACAGATGCTTGCATTGTCTAACAATAGAGAGGAACTCTACAGAGAGTATTTTCTGTTTAGAAAAGTACAAATTAATGGGAGTTGTTGCTTTCTTTGTAGTTAATTACCTGCTAACAGATCATGTTGGGTTGTCAGTAAAGTGTTCTTTTTCTAAATTGCTGTTAGTTTGTACCAGATTTGAGCAGCAAACGGCTTTCACGTTTTATCTTGTAAGACCAAAGATTATAACACATAAAATCAAAGATTCTCCAGAGATTTATAAGTTTCTCTCCTACAGAGGGCATTTTTGCCAAGTCTCATTCCCTATGTTTTCATGACACTGAACTTAACTGTAAAGAAATTAGATCTACAGTCCTTTGATAAATCTTATTAGATCTATATTATGTTTAAAACTCCTGGGAGGATTCTCCATTTTCCATGTTTTCTCCAGTTATGAGTATATAAAATTTATCTATTGAATTAAAATAATTATTCATGACAAAAAGACAATAAAGAAAATAAATCTATAAGGAGGCAACTGCTTTTTTTTTAACCAATTCACTATATGTTTTTAATTTAACATAGTTTCTTTCTTTTTACCAAAAGGATGGATCTGCGGTTATGGCCAGTTGTTCCAGATCCTGCCAACAGCAGCATCAAGAGATGGTCTTCAGAATCAACCCAGGTATGTGTGTATATATATATATATATATATATATATATATATATATATATATATATATTTCTCTTTCTTTTTAGTGTCAGGAAATTATTAAAAAAAAGATAACTTGGCTTTTTATATGGTATGTCAAGTTCTGGTTTTAACTGTATGTGCTATTCCTTTCTAGTTTAATATATAAATTCATTTTTTTCTGTGCAGTTTTCTCATCCATCCTGGGACAACAATGAGCCAAATCCAATATACTTGTCCCATCTCAGCTTCCTGGACCTTACCACTAAACTCAGCAAAGAACAGGATGATATTTGGTTAAACAGCAAAGAGGAAACCAGTGATCTTCCAGAGTCTATTTGTGGCTCAGTGTTCATGCCTACATATTCAAGTTCAAACAGCGAGTCGGTTCATTATGCTACCATGCTTCCTTCGTCTACATGCAGCAGCCCGAAACCGAACGAGCCTGTCTATCTGCGCTCTGAATCCACGCAGCCCCTCCTGGAAGCTGAGGAGTCTTTGACTCCAAGACACTACCAAAATGTTCCATCTGATGGGATGCCAAAGGAGCAGTGCTTTTTTGGGCCTTGTGATGATGATATACCTGAAGAGCAGAACAACCAAGGCGTGATTTGGGATGATTTTCCTTTCCTACGAGCTTTAGCCATGAATGAGAGGGAACATAACTGAAGTTAATGTGCTGGTCATCAGAGTATGCTTGCAAAAATTTTGATGCATTTTATGTCTCCCCCTTGTTGTGATGACAATGAGCACACCCCGCTTTACCAACAAGTCAGATTTAATGTACGTTTGTAATTTTACTGTGGTGCTTTTTTTCATTTATAAATATACCTCATTGTGCATGCTGCTAGCAAACAAAACCACTGGTGCTTAGTCTGTGTCTTGATAAATGTATATTATCAAGTTTACAAAAACTTTACCATACATGATTGCAGGTTAGGGCAAGTAGCTATGCTCTTGTAGCCGTTTCCAATGTCTGATGATCAGCATCTGTTGAATTTGTTTCAAATGATTCTTTTCTTTTTGAACAGTGACTAGAAAAAAAAATAGGCATGCATCTCACTTCACATTTTAACTGGAGGGAAAAAAAATTAAGTTTTTTACTGATTAAAATTCCAAAATCAATGTATATTCAATATTTGAAAAAGTGCATTATTTCTGTTTATTTTATTGGATTTGCCAAACTCAAAACTTTGACAATTGTAATTTTGCAAAGGAAAAAAAAAGAGAGTTCATGCAAAAGCAAAAAAATCTTTATCATGGGAGCATCTTTATCATGGGAGCAAATCATGGAGCAAACTAAAGCATAAACATAGCAAATTCGGTTGATATTTTCTAAAACTGTCATGTTGATACCTGGATATATTGCAGCTTACAGAGAAAAAAACAAACATGTGATCTGGTGGAAATAAAAAAAAAACACAAAAAAATGCAATGAAATTGTTCTGGTATGTCTTGGACACGTTTGATTGCTTTCCTCTAGATGATGATTGACATTATTTTTTATCATACTCATATTAAGCATGCAATAGTATGTAAGTAAGCCAGTGATCTGTAAGAGGCAGGATGCTATTCTCTTCTAAAGGATCATTAAAGTGCTACACTCTGTGAAATGTTTTAATATAAATTTTTTCAACGTTACCTCTGTTATTTGTTTAAAATGAATCTGATTGAATGTTTAGTTGAAAAAGCGATTATTTGTGTCTGGTCACCTTTTCATAGAGTTTGTAATTTAACCAGATATGTTGTAGAGAATCCCAAAAAAGGAAAGCCATCTCCAGTTCTCATTTTTACCAATCTGCTGAATGGTGCCAGTGCCTTGCAGCAAGCTGGGTCTGGGTTTGATTCTCTGCTCAGGGTCATCTTGCATTGAGTTTGCATGTTCTCTCTGTGCATGCGTGGGTTCTCTGTGGGTATTCCAGCTTCCTCCCACAGTCAAAAATCATGACTGTTAGGTTGACTGGCATCTCCAAATTGTCCTTAGGTGTGAGTGTGGTGTGCATGGTTGGCCAGGGAGTGCCCTGCCTCGCTCATAAAGTGCTGGAGATGAGGCACCAGCCACTCTACAACCCTGAAAGAACAAGTGGGAGAGGATGGATGGATGGATTTCATTTATTTTCATATATTTAGGAAGGAAGGAAGGAAGGAAGGAAGGAAGGAAGGAAGGAAGGAAGGAAGGAAGGAAGGAAGGAAGGAAGGAAGGAAGGAAGGAAGGAAGGAAGGAAGGAAGAAAGAAAGAAAGAAAGAAAGAGGTGCATATAAATAACTGAGCATGGTATAAAGCAAATATTTCCAATACTCTTATAACTATAGTTGAAAAATACAGATACTACACATCATTTTAATAAAAACAATCTATTGAAGTGAAGCGAATCGTATCGATGCGCTCTGGGATTGTTAGGTGACGCCTAGCAGTGTAATCATTTTCCAGACTCGGCTAGCTACGTCTACCTAAAATGGCGGACCTCATGTAGGGGTCGGGTGTTATTACATGTCAAACGTAAAGCATCTTCATTAGGATTGTTTTCTGACTATTTATCTACATTATTAGCAATGTTTTCCAGTTGTGGCCTGCGGGCGCTTCTGAAGTGTTCTGTGGGTGTTTTCCGTGAAACCTCCGCGGTGTCAGTTAGACCCTGGAGCTGCAGCCGTCTGCCTCTGTTATCAGGACCAACAGTTAGCAAAGGTGAGCGAAAAATAATTAAATTCTGGATAAATTAAACGGTATTTTACTACGTTGAACGTGGTATTTATGATAAAAATGTTCTGACAAGCTGCTGACCGGGCTTTACTCTCACTAACACTTTCACCAGCAGAGGGCGCTGTTGAGAGAGATACTGCATCATTTTTCAATGTTTATGTCACCTTATTGGATGAAAGTGTTCTCATATAGCATGCAGACAGAGAGAGAAGGAGTTCAGAAAATATTGTTTATTTGATATGTGTTTGCCTGGACAGGTTAGCTACATATTATAGCTGCCTTACTCTTCTTAATCAGATCTAAATGTTTTATTGAGTAGTATTTCCGATTTATATAATGCAAATCCTCTTTTAGCTCCTCTTACTTAGGAAGATAACTTTAAATATTATGGTCTTGCAGGCTCTAAGATCATATAATACTGAACTCAAGTATGTGATACAATTACATAAAGGTAACTGCTAATTAAGGAACAAAGCAAAGATAATAAGAACTTAGTGTGTGAAAAAGTTCAAGGTCACTTAAATCTGTGTGATTCAACAGAGCAGAACAACAGAAGCACAAGATAATTTTAAACTATTACTGTGTTTCACAAATTTTTTTTTCTGTGCCCAAATTTAAATAACCATGAATAAATGTTACAAAATATGTTTCATGCATGTAATAATCATAATTCAATGCTGTAATAGAAAAAACCCTTTAGAGATGTTCTCTGTTACAGTTTTATCAAGTTTCAAATTTCAAGTCATATTATAAAAATCAATGTTTGATCATTTAAATAAATTTAATGACTTTAACTACTTCACCATGAAGACTGCCTCCATTTGACAGTACATTAAGGTTTCTTCAGTTAGTAAAAACATTTTTTAATTTTGAGTGTTTTCACACAGGAAAGTCCTTTGGTCCAGATTAAAAGAGGACTTTAAAACATTTTTTTTTGTTTAATTGCATTTATTGAAAGTGGACTAAAACTCACAACATGCGTGTGATGATCATTGTTCTCGTTGCTTGGAAAAGACTACAGCAGAACATAGTCCCAAAAATGGAGGAAAACTACTATGGAGGTTCTGCACTGAGGAGTTCTACTTAGCATATTGATGCTCTTATTAAATTTGCAAAACTATTGCAAGTATCTCAAGCAGCTCATTCAATATAGTTTTTAAATTTCATTTGTGACAGTGTTGGAAAATACATCCCACAAAATGAGGGATGTCCACTGCATGCTGGAAGCAGTGTTGCTAAGCAACAGACAACAGAACAGCTGCATTTTGTTACTATGCTACCTGCCACAGTAGCTTGTTGCATCTAAAGAGACGTGTGCTTTCTGTGATTGGGTCAAACTGACTAGAGTTCACTGGTCTTTTTTTACACCTGTCTAAAAGGTCTGGACCAAGGGGCTAAACAAACTCATCCGTTTAAAAGTGTGCCAGGTGTGAATAAAGGCTGTTGTTTTAATGTTATTTAAACTGCCTATGCTGCCAAAGTGGATGAATGGTAGCTACTGCAGCTGAATTTCCACTTTGTTCAAACAATACATGCTGGGCCATTCCTACATCACAATATTCAGGTAAAAAAATAGCTCAGTCAGACATAGGTCTCTGTACCCAGTAATCCTGCCCTCCTTCGCCTCCGAGGCACCGGCTTTGAGCATCTTTTTGCCAAATCAGCTGCTCAAATAAGGTTATGACCCAATGTAACGATCAGCAGCAGTCTGCTCAATTCAGTTCAATTCAGTTTATTTATATAGCGCCAATTCACAACACGTCATCTCAAGGCACTTTACAACGCACCGGATCATCCAGTCAGATTGATTAAAAGTTTTCTGTGTAAGGAAAACCAGTTGATTGCATCGACTCATTGACTCAAATGCAATCCCTCACACTAAGTTTGCTTGTAACGACAGTGGAGAGGAAAAATTCCCTTTTAACAGGAAGAAACCTCCAGCAGAACCAGGCTCAGTGTGAGCGGCCATCGGCTGAGGCCGACTGGGGTTCAAGGAGACAGAAGCAGAGATGCAAAAGGCGGCCCCGTCCAGGAAACACACAGCCAGGCAGACGAGCTCCGAGCCAGCTCCCATGTCAGAGGATGAAGAAAGCACTTCAGCCAGTGACAGACTCAGAAACAGGACTACAGAGGAAAAACAGGCCGAACCCCATCATCTATAAACAAAGGTGTTGATGGCAGCAGCACAGCTTATATTTCTCTCCAGGATGGAGTCACAGCCAAACAGGAACAGAAGCTACTATGAGAAAAAGCAGAGAGAGCATAACGTCAGAGATTGAACTAAGAGATTCTGCAGAGTGGGAGAATAGAGATAGAATGAAGGAAGCAAAATTATGAAATAGGGGTCCCTATGTCCTCCAGAAGTCTAAGCCTATAGCAGCATAACTATAGAGATAGCTCAGGATAACCTGAGCCACTCTAACTATAAGCTTTATCAAAAAGGAAAGTTTTAAGCCTACCCTTAAAAGTAGACAAGGTGTCTGCCTTACGGACTAAAACTGGTATTTGGAGAGGAGCCTGATAACTAAAAGATCTGCCTCCCATTCTACTTTTCAATACTCACTGTCCATACTTCAAAATTAATAAGTTTGCAAAAGGCATCCTACTAGCAGTAGGGTGCTATGTTATATTTGCAGTGTTCTTGTTCTTAATTATCTGACGATCTGTGTTTTTCTTCTGGGTTTATGCGTGAGAATTAGATTTGTTTTGGGGAAATAACCACTCCCTATTTATTGCGGCTTCTCATACACTAGAAATGTTTGCCAGATGAAGGTCATGTACCAAAACGTTGCAAATAAATATCTTCTCTTGCAAGTTGGACTGTGTGGGAGTCCTCTTACAACACTGAACAACTTTTCCTTTAAACTGTTTCATTATAAACTTTAAGATAATTCAAAGTTATATATTGTACTCTAATTTTAAGCTGTGTTACATCAAGGACCCCTGATTGCTTTTTGTACAGATGTTTGAACACTGTTCATTGTTTACTTACCAAAAAAGAAAGCTTTAAAGTAGAGGTTTTGGAAGAATCCAAAACCTAAAGTCTGTGGATTTGATGCCTAAACCTTACTTATTACTATCGGTTTATCCCCTCCCCTGAAGGCTAACCATAATCCTAATGTTAGAGGATGAAAAACCTAAACCCAGGGTCAGTAGATTTAAAATAAATTTTGTATTTCAGTTGGGAACGACTTATTTCAGGAGCAACTTCTGGTATGTTTTATTAGCATTGATTGTGAAAATGACAGCTTCCTGTCCTTGTTGTACAATATTCATATGCCTGCCAGGAACTGAACACACTGACTAACCCTTCCACCCCTCATCTCCACAATCAGCCCTACCCTTTATTGTCTCATGGCACTGACCACTTTTTTCTCATTTTATTTATATCTGAAGTGCCACATCAAGATGTAAATAAAGATGCATTGTGTCAGTGATCTAAAAAACAATAAAAAAATTCTGGGGCTTTCAAATGAAAGTTAACATCTGCCTAATATAACCTGGGATCTTTGGTGCTTGCATGAAAGTAAACTGAATATTTAACTACAGT